TCAGCACAGAATACCCTCACCTTTTCACAGGATAAGCAAGGAGTTGAGAGTTTATGATCAGCCCCTTAACCAGGCTATTTCCTTGTAGGAAAGATTCTCATAAAGAAACTTAGTAGTAACTGGAAACTCTTGATGACATTCTGCATCACCAGAATGATTGTGTGTTTTTTTTTTAAACTTCTCTTAGATTTAGCTCAAACAAGCAATGACTTAATAAGGCAGAAACATTTGGGAGGCAGTCACTAGAAATGGTGAATCAGGACCAGGATAATCAAATATATTATATGTTCGAAAAGATTCACCTCCTGTTAACGTCACATAAGGATTTATGTCCCAGGAATTTTCTCCGGGAGGATTTTTAAGGCAATGAAAATACTCTGTATCCTACTACAATGGTGGACACATGTCATGATACATTTGTCCAGACCCACAGAATATACAGCAAGGAGCGTGAACCCTGGTGTAAACGATGGACTTCAGGGGAAATGATGTGTGCGTGCTGGTTCATTAGTTAGAAGAGATGCACCACTCTGGTGAGAGTTGTGATGGTGGAGGAAGTCGGGACAGGGGCACGGGGAGTGTGAGAAGTATCACTGCCTTCCTTTCAATTTTGCTGTGAACTTAAAACTGCTCTGAAAAATAAAGTATTTTTTAAAAAGGGTATTCTTTAGGTAAAAATGTAAATCAAAGTAAACCAAACCTGACTGTTAGCCTGCTACATGGAAAATGTTCTTCTGGCAGAGTCCCCTGCGTCCAAACTGCCCTTCCCAGCTTCATCTTCTCACGTCCTGGTGCTGAAGAGACGCCAGCTCCTGCCCTCCCCTGCAGGGGCATGGCCTGCACTTTGCCGGGCCAGTGAAGGAGGAAGACCAGGCTGGGCTCACTGCTCCTCCCCTTCACCTGGGAGCAGGCAAGCTCCCTCCAGAAGAGGCACTGAGGATAATTCCTCTGCCACGGGGTCCTTGTGCTGTTGACAAGGCCTGGGACCTGCAAATCCATGCAGAGCTGTAAACTTGGCTATTACAAAAGGGGTCTGACAGCCCACAGCAGCAGAATCGCAGCACTGCACACCGGGAGAGGCTTCCTGGACTCCGAGAAGAGAATGTTGCCTTCTCCTGTCCCAGGCCCCGGGGGCACGCATACCAACTGGACGTGAGTTAGCTGACCGCGTCAGGATGACATAGCCCTGACACGTGAATGCTTCACACCATTCATGAAGCTCCCTTTTGCCTAAGGGCATTGTCCTTTCAAAGACCTTCTCTCTATTTCTCTTCCAATTAGAGTGAGGGGACCAGCATTCTCCTCACAGGGACCCTGAGCAGTGCTGGCAGCACCCTTCCTAAAAGGGCACCCACCAAGCGTCTTCCTTAAGAAAGTTCCAGAACACCTGTTCCCACGTCTCATCCAAGAACAGACTGGGAATTGTGTTTTTAAGTCCAAAGGAAACTTTAAAAAAAGAGAAAGAAAAATCACTGCCATATACAGAATATACCAGACTTCATGTACTAATGTGCTTTCCTTGTGAGAATCTTCCATGTTTGGAAATGGTGTGGTTAAGGTACTAACCATAAATTATAAATGACTTGCTTATCCTGCCAAAAGGTGGGCATGTTCTCTGATAAAATGGAAGAGAGAAATCACAACTGATAAACAACTAGGAGATCTGGTTTCAGTGCGGGTCAGGATGTGACTTTGGCCCACTCTTACATTATTAAAGAGTAGGACATATAAAACCAATTCCTGCAGCAAGAAGCTGCAGCGTCAGCAAGTTACAAGCTGCTAAGGGAGCCCACAGGCTGCTGTAGAAAACCTAGGGAAGGGATAAGTATTTACTACTCAGAAAAGAGAAATCTATTTTAATACTTGATCTCTACGGCTGAACCCGCTCTCATAGCTGCATTGCAAAATGGCACCATGATAACTTAAATGAAAACTAAAGATAAAATTGGAAGAATATGTTCAGTTTGAAAACACTTTTCAAAATAGTGTTTTTAGTTTTCAAGCAGATATTCTATCTCTCCTTGTGCATTTGTAAAACCAGACCTGTGTGTACTTTAAGACAGGATCTGTGAGTCCATTTTCTTAAAAAAAATATGTAACTAGACTGATAGAAGTCATGGTTTCACATGTATACACTTATTTACAAACTCATTAAGTTGTACACATTCAATGTGGCAACTTTTATAGGTTAATCATATTTCAATAAAGTGACTTGCTAAAATACAACTAGAAATTGAGCCCAAATATTAATATAAGAATGGTGAGTAAACCCTAATACATTCACTGATAAAATTCAGTTCAGTTTAGTCACTCAGTTGTGTCTGACTCTTTGTGACCCCATGAATCACAGCACGCCAGGCCTCCCTGTCCATTACCAACTCCCGGAGCCTACTCAAACTCATGACCATTGAGTCGGTGATGCCATCCAACCATCTCATCCTCTGTCGTCCCCTTCTCCTCCCACCTTCAATCTTTCCCAGCATCAGGGTCTTTTCAAATGAGCCAGTTCTTCACATCAGGTGGCCAAAATATTGGAGTTTCAGCTTCGACATCAATGCTTCCAATGAACACCCATACTGATCTCCTTTGGGATGGACTGGTTGGATCTCCTTGCTGTCCAAGGGACTCTCAAGAGTCTTCTCCAACACCACAGCTCAAAAGCATCAATTCTTCGGCACTCAGCTTTCTTTATAGTCCAACTCTCACATCCATACATGACTACTGGAAAAACCATGGCCTTGACTAGATGGACCTTTGTTGGCCAAGTAATGTCTCTCCTTTTAAATATCCTATCTAGGTTGGTCATAACTTTCCTTCCAAGGAGAAAGCGTCTTTTAATTTCATGGCTGCAGTCACCATCTGCAGTGATTTTGGAGCCCAAGAAAAGAAAGTCTGACACTGCTTCGCCATCTATTTGTCATGAAATGATGGGACCAGATGCCATGATCTTAGTTTTCTGAATGTTGAGCTTTACGCAAGCTTTTTCACTCTCTTCTTTCACTTTCATCAAGAGGCTTTTTAGCTCTTTTTCGCTTTCTGCCATAAGGGTGGTGTCATCTGCATACCTGAGGTTATTGATATTTCTCCCAGTAATCTTGATTCCAGTTTGTGCTTCCTCCAGCCCAGCATTTCTCATGATGTACTCTGCATAGAAGTTAAATAAGCAGGGTGACAATATACAGCCTTGACATACTCCTCTTCCTATTTAGAACCAGTCTGTTGTTTCATGCCCAGTTCTAACTGTTGCTTCTTGACCTGCATACAGATTTCTCAAGAGGGAGGTCAGGTCATCTCTTTAAGAATTTTCCACAGTTTGTGGTGATCCACACAGTTAAAGGCTTTGACACAGTCAATAAAGAAGAAATGAAGGTTTTTCTGCAACTCTGTTGCTTTTTCGATAATCTAACAGATATTGGCAATTTGATCTCTGGTTCCTCTGCCTTTTCTAAAACCAGCTTGAACATATGGAAGTTCATGGTTCATGTACTGTTGAAGTCTGGCTTACATGCATCTAAATCTATGATAATATGGTCTGTTTCTCAAGTTTAAGTGAGAAAAGTATACTTAGGACAGAGGTCACTCTGTAAAAGAAGAAACACAGACACTCCAGAAACCTGAACATTTCTAGCATGAACCTGCCCACAGGAACTCATCCCCTCTATGGACACTGGGCCACAGAATCCAGCGTGGGTCTTAACTTCTGGCTCGGGGCCTTCTGCCGGGAGGCAGCCACAAGGAGCATGCCCTAGTGTCCCCCAGTAGATGAAAAGCTGTTTTGCATCACCTCGTAGAGGTAAAGATGTTGTATCCTAGGAAAATATTAAAGCCGGGAGCAACGTTCCTCAAATTTTTGTGTACATGGTGCATAAAATAATTTTAAAAACCTGTGAACCCCTTTGCTCCAGTAAATCATTACCTGAAATCTTCTTTATAAAACTAAAGTAGTTGCAAAGGATGCAATTTCAAGTAGAATCAGAATAAGAATATCTTTACATAAAACTCTTCTATCACTCTTTTCAATGTATTGATGAGAATAAAAACACCCAGAGTGATGTGGTTATCCATTATCCATTTTTAAAATCCTTGAGCAAATGGTTTTTGAAGATTTAAATATTACATCATTTCTTACCTTCCTTTGTTTTCTAGAAATACAACTTCCATTCACTCCTGCTTCAGAATCATACAAAAATATTTTTGTGCTTGAATGTCTTTATAATTGATCACTCTATCATATTCTACATAATAAAGTGTATAAACATTTAGATGGAATTGTTTCCTGTGATTTTGTTAAATTTTTAAATTACAGATTGAGCTAGTAACAGTAGTACAAAAATGATTAAACAATGTGATTATGATCTATTTTGATAAACATCAAATATCATATTAGAAATTCTATTAGCATTAAAAACTATTAAAATTCTATTAGTATCAATACTCTTGAATATTACAAATGCTTCAACTGTATCTTTTACAACTGGGAAGGGGTGGGAAGAAAAGTCAGTCCGTGATGTTGGCTATCGGCACCTTGACAGGCAGATCAGCTCTCAATAAGGATTCAGGTGGAAATCGAGGGTTTGGAAATTGATTCCCTTCAATGCCAACTCCATGCATCACATTGTGTCCCTTAATGTAAGCTTGCACGGTTTTCATTTGGAACGTTGGTACGTGGTTGCAGTCACACCTCCAACAGTCTGTAAGTGGGCCTCCCTCGGGGGGCTGCCCCCGGCTATGCTGTGTCAGGGCCCAGGAGGCCGGCACTGACCCGGGTGGTGGTCCCCTACCGGGAGTCGGCCTGTGGGCCTGAGGCCACCCTCCGCTCTGAGCCCGCCTCCAACAGGAGTGAGCTGTGTGGCCCAAGGATCAGGGATAGGTGGTGAGCCCGCTGGCACGCAGCCGGGAGGGTGAGGCCCTGCAGGTTGTTCCTAGGCCCAGATTTACCCCCCGAGGCCTCACAGGCTGCACTGCAGCGCCTCCCCCGCTGGCCCCGGCCGGGCCCTCACCTCCCGTTGACCACACTCCTCTTCTCCAGCCCGCTGGGCAGCACGACGGTCATGGCCACCGCCCCGCCGTCCAGCGAGTGCTTCCTGCTGAGCTGGTTCTGTGGGGGCCCGGGGGATGCTCTGCGCGGAGATCTCTGTCCGCTGTGCAAGTTGGGGGTGGCGGGCTTCCCAGGAGGCGGGGGAGCACGAGCCTTCATCTTCCTCCTGGAAAGGTGACAAGAACAAGGACAAGTGAGGTGACAGCTTCTGATCTGAAATCAACAAAGCTGTTGACAGCCAGCAGCTTCTAAGGACGCTTCCTCCTCATCGCTCATTCTTATAAGTATTTAGGGCCTTCTGGGTCACCGGAACTTTAAAAAATCAATATATTACAACAAGGACCTACTGTACAGCACAGGGAACTGTGTTCAACATCTTGTAATAACCTAAAACCAACCTAAAACCAAAATAATCTGAAAAAGAATATATATGTGTGCATGTATAACTGAATCACTTTGCTGGACACCTGAAATCAAATATACTTCAATAAAAAAGTCAATATATTGGCACTCTTCAACACTAAGAGAAAATGGACAACCAAGAAAAGTGGAGAGCACATTTTTTAAATTGAAGTAGACTTTACAGTGCTGTGTAAATTTCAGCTGTACCAGCAAAGTGAGACTCAGTTATACATCTAATACATTCGTTTTCATCTTCTTTTCCATTATGGTGTATCACAGGATATTGAATACAGTTCCCTGTGTTACACAGTGGTTATCCATTTCTATGTAAAAGCTTACACATCTGCTCATCCAACCACCCACTCCATCCTTCCCCCACTCCCCTCCCCCTTGGAACCACCACTCTGTTCCCTATGGAGAATTCATTTTGAAAGTATGCATTCCTGAAAAGAAACAGCCTAAACTGTATTCCCCTCTTGGGATGGGTTGGTGTGGAAGAATCTGTTTGCACCAGTTCTTTCTGAACCATTGAACGGGTCACAAATTCCAGCTAATTAAGGGGACCTCCCAGCCGGTCTAGGTCGCTCTAGCTGAAATCATTGCCCCAGCTCTGGATTCATGACTAGCTGAAGATCTGGAACCTATGAGTCCATGATACTGAGGATGTGATGGGACTACATTAAGATGTAATAAATTATCCAGAAAACCCACCAGACTGACACCCACAGACACGGGCACTATAGATGGAGGTGGCAGTTTTGAGGCAGGGGCTTCAGTGATATTTTAATACCCACCCACTCCCCCTTGGACTTCACCTTGTTTCTGACTCTGCTTTAAATTCTTAATTTACCTTGTAGATTTCTAAACATCTGGCAGTGAATCACCCACTCTGATGAACATGCTTGGGAATTTTTGTCTCGTCCAGATTATTCAAGGAAGGCATCTGACCTTACACAAAGTCTTATTTTATATATAAGTATATACTTATACATATTTATATATACTTTATACTTATATAAAAAATATATACATCAGTTCAGTTCAGTTGCTCAGTCGTGTCAGACTCTGCGACCCCATGGACTGCAGCACGCCAGGCCTCCCTGTCCATCACCAACTCCCGGAGTTTACTCAAACTCATGTCCATCGTGTCAGTGATGCCATCCAACCATCTCATCCTCTGTCGTCCCCTTCTCCTCCCACCTTCAATCTTTCCCAGCATCAGGGACTTTTCAAATGAGTCAGCTCTTCGCATCAGGTGGCCAAACTATTGGAGTTTCAGCTTCAACATCAGTCCTTCCAATGAACACCCGGGACTATCTCCTTTAGGATGGACTGGTTGGATCTCCTTGCTGTCCAAGGGACTCTCAAGAGTCTTCTCCAACACCACAGTTCAAAAGCATACATTCTTTGGCACTCAGCTTTCTTTATAGTCCAACTCTCACATCCATACATGGCCACTGGAAAAATCATAACCTTGACTAGATGGACCTGTGTTGGCAAAATAATGTCTCTGCTTTTTAATATATACATATGTGTATGTATATGGGTCTTCCTAGGTGGCGCTAGTGGTAAAGAACTCACCTGCAATGCAGGAGACATAAGAGACATGGGTTTGATCCCTGGGTGGGGAAGATCCCCTGGAGGAGGAAATGGCAACCCACTCTGGTATTCTTGCTGGAGAATCCCATGGACAGAGGAGCCTGGTGAGCTACAGGCCATGGAGTCGCAAAGAGTCAGACACGACTGAAGCAACTTAGCATGCGTGTATGTATACATGTATATGTATGTATACATGCACGTATATACATGTACACATTTATTTATATGCTCCTTACTTATATAGGGGATCTTCCTGACTCAGGGATTGAATCCAGGTCTCCTGCATTGCAGCAGATTCTTTACCATCTGAGCCACCAGGGAAGCCCTTCCTTATATAAAAGTTTTATTTTACATAGACCCTGGCTATTATATAGGAGCTGTCATTTACTCAGCCTCAGGACCTATGCTAACAATACCCTCAGGAAGCTCACTTTATTCAAAATATTTTGGAACTGAGAATACTGAGTATCAGTTAGATCCAAGCTCCCCTGGAGGCCTGGGGAGGAGGTGTGTCTGGCTTCCAGGGCCTTGTCCCACCCACCTCACTCTGCTCCCATCTGCCCTCCTCCAGACTCCAGATGGAGGAGCCATGAAGAGGCTATGTGAGCCCTCAATGATTAACTTCTCCTGCACAGCAGTGTGCTGGGGCATTCTGTCTCAAAGCACCAGACATCAGAATTCCATTTCTAGATATTTATCCTAAAGAAACATTCCCACAAGAATCCATTGTGGGAGGTTCAAAGATGCTCGGTACAATTTACAATGGCAAATAAATGTAAGATGTTCTAACCACAGGTCAAAAAGAGGGAATTTCAATAAATGATAGTACAAAAACAATGTTATGCTGGTATTGGTTAAACATACTTTATTTTTAATTTTGTTTTACACTGGACTGTAGCTGATTTATAATGTGCTTCAGGCGCACAGCAGAGTGCTTCAGTCATACGTATATATGTTCTTTTTGCCTTTAGGTTATTAAGAAGAACCAATACTGCTATATAACACAGGGAGCCCATCCTGGGGGGTCTGTGACCACCTAGGGGGTGGGCTGGGGCAGGGGTAGGAGGGAGATGCAAGAGGGAGGGCACATATCTATATCTGTACCTATATCTATATCTGTACCTATATCTGTTTAGTTGTGACTGATCATGTTGTTGTGCGGCAGAAACCAAAAGGACGCTGTAAAGCAACGGCATGTGTGTACCCTCAGTCACTCAGTCGTGTCCGACTCTTTGTGACCCCATGGACTGTAGCCTGCCAGGCTCCTCTGTCCATGAGATTCTCCTGGCAAGAATACTGAAATGGGTTGCCAGACCCTCCTTCAGGAGATCTTCCTCATCCAGGGATCGAAGCCATGTCTCCTGTATTGCAAGTAGGTTCTTTACTGCTGAGCCCCTGGGGAAGCTCACAAAGCAATTATCCTCCAATTAAAAAGAATACTGTCAAAATGACTATACTGTCTACAGATTCAATGCAGGCAATCTACATAGTCAATGCAATTCCTATCAAGTTGCTAAGGGCATTTCCCACTGAACTAGAACAATAAACTTTAAAATTTGTATGGGGACACAAAAGACCATGAATAGCCAAAGCAATTTTGAGAAAGATAAACAAGAGTTTGAGGAATCAGGCTTCCTGACTTTAGGCTATACTGCAGAGCTACAATAAACAAAACAGTATGGGACTGGCACAAAAACAGATTTATAGATCAATGGTACAGGACAGCAAGCCCAGAAATGGACCCACACACCTATGGCCAGTTAATCTGCAACAAAAAAGGCAAGAATAAACAATGAAGAAAAGATGGTCTCTTCAATAAATGGTGCTGGGAAAACTGGAGAAGTAAAGTGAAAGAATAAATATCCTTTAAACATATAAGTTGATGTTCTAAAATGTTCAGTACAGACTTTTAGGAAAACAAACTTCAGAATACTCTTTTGAGAAATACTGCTTATAAGAGAAATAAACATTATAGCAATAGACCATAAAACAGTCTAAAAAGACAAAGCAAAGAATGGCAACAATGACATACAGGTGACAGGTACCATGACATTTGTTTTGCTATTTTCACTTCTATGCATTTCCTAATATTTTCTATAGCATCACTTCTCTATGTATTACTTGTAAAACAAAAGAGGTAATCTTAAAATGGGGAAAAGAGCAAATGGGGTTCAGACGAGGCCTCAAACCATCACTGTTCACATCACTGGTTAACACAAGCCTTAGAAGTGACGCTGGGTCTCGTCCTCTAACCTGACAAGTAAATATAAATTAATTCTCTTTTTTATGTGAAAAAAGACCTACATCATATTTTTATAATTTTTATGCTTTACTGCATTACATTTTTTTCCCTTTAAACTTACAGAAATAAAGTAGCAAATATATATAGCTCTGGCTTAAGGTCTGTGTGTAGTTAATTCACTTATTCCTCACAATAACACTCCAGGGAGGGACTACTATTCCTGTTTTATAGATATGAAGTACAGGCACGTCTTTCTCAGATTACAGAAAATTTGGTTTCAGAGCCTGAAAATTTAACCAGTGCATTCTTCAACCACTATTAGGAAGACCAGATAGAAAATACAGACGGAAAAGTCAAGGCAGAGAATAGGCTATATAAAATAGATAAACAGCAAGGATATACTGTATAGCACAGGGAACTCTACTCAATATCTTGTAATAAGCAAGGAGATCAACCCAATCAATCCTAAAGGAAATCAACCCTGAATATTCATTGGAAGAACTGATGCTGAAGTTGAAGCTCCAGTACTTTGGCCACCTGATGTGAAGAACTGACTCATTTGAAAAGACCCTGATGCTGAGAAAGATTGAAGGTAGGGGAAGGGGACGACAGAGGATGAGATGGTTGGATGGTATCATTGACTCAATGGACATGAGTTTGAGCAAGCTCCAGGAGATGGTGAGGGACAGGGAAGCCTGGCGTGCTGCAGTCCATGGGGTTGCAAAGAGTCAGACACGACTGAGCGACTGAACAACAGTAAGGGAAAATAATCAATGTCCACTGCTCCAGGTTTTCCCAAATAAATGATGTTTCCACCACCCTGAGTCAGCCTTTTCATCCCCAATTTCACCTCTTGCCACCCCCCAACCAAGCCTTCATCACCAAGGTCCACACAAATGCAGTCTCTTCTTTCACCCCAATCT